TGGTAATGCCCCTGCCTAGGACCCTCGCGTGGCCTCGCGGGCGATAACATAGGCCTGTATCACACTCCATTTTTTCCGGGCGATCACGGGCCATATGCAAGTGGCTGCACCTTGGACACCTGGACGCCTTGGACACCTGGATCTAGACACCTGGACACCATTGGCGCCTGGACACCTTGGACACCAGGGTCTGGACACCTGGACAACTTGGACGCCTGGGTCTGGACACCTGGGCACCTTGGACACCAGGGTCCTGGACCACTCTGGACAGCGTGGACGCCTGGATCTGGACACCTGGGCACCTTGGACACCGGGTCTGCCGTTGCTAGAGGAGAGTGCAGCGCCCAGGTCCTTCCGATATCTGACCTGGAGAACTAAAGCGCGGTTTTGCCAGGGTCTTCCGTTGTGTGTTACCCGGGTCCCGTCACTGCCTGCCCACTTCGATCACCCGTTTGCTGGAGGAGGAGACACTGGCATTCTGTACGCCGCTGCTGGAGAAGAGTGCGCCACTCGGGTCTGCTGCTGTGCGCCATCTGGGTCTACCGCTGCTGGAGAAGGAGAGTACAGCACCCGAAGCCCCCGAGACTTGTAAGTGACCTAATTGACCTACTTGACCGTGAACGCACGCGGTCCGCCCGGCTGACCGGCTGGCCGTATCTAGCCTGCGGTCAGGGGTGCCGCCAGAGCCGCTGTAAACGGGGGAGGGGGGGTACTGGTACTGGTGAGACAAACAGCCACGCTTCTGAAGGCAATGCGTCGCGGCCATTGCGCATGGAGCGAACGCAGGCGCAGGTGCAGGCCTTAAAAAGCGCGCCGCCGAGGCCATCCTTCCGTCAATTCCGAGAAAACACTATTAACGTCCGAAAACAGATCACCACCAGACAAACAGAGCGTTTGCGCGAGCCGTCCAGTGTTTATTATGCCAGGGCAAAAATATGACGGGGTGAGGGACGGGTGCACTTGGACTGTCGGCAGAGGACGTCCGGCTTTGGTGTGCCCTACAGGGGATCGGCGTTCAGCACTGGCGCAGCCAAGGGAGGAGGGGGGGGGGGGGGGGGGCTCAGGCAGGGGCCCTGTGTCCAAGTGTAGTCGATGCTGTGCCGACCATGCGGCTTGTAACGTACAAGTAACGACAGCTCGCCAACCCGCGCCACTTACAGGATGATCGTTTCAATTCCATGCATCACAAGGGCTAGTGACCCGACCATCGGGGTCCAGGCGGCCCGCCTTGGTGTTTCTCCCGTTGGGTATGCACGGCGGCATCTTCCAGTCCTGCTGCTCCTCGACGTTGGTCCACGCGAGGGCGAACGCGTGACGACAGCCGGCGTCGACGGTGGGCCACGTCGGATCCTCCAGCTGGCCCTGCCCGCCGAGGCGATTTGGTGAGCCGGCGCGGCGTCTGCGCAGCGGTCGGCAGTGGTGCCGCACGTGGCGGAATCATGATGTAGCGTGCATGCATGACGCTGGGGCAGCCATGCACGGTCACATCACTTGCACAGTTGCGTTTTGTCAGATCACGGGCGTAAGCTGGATTTAAAGTGGATGCTCCATATTCGAAGATGTTAAAGCAAGCAACAGATATGAATTAAGCCCATTTACAATTATCGATATATTTTTAATGGAATTAGACTACCCTAGACAACAGATTTTCTCTGTTTATCAAATACGCTCTTCAATGCGTCATTCTTTGATAACGCCATTTTACCCTGCACAACGTTGATTGATTAACGGTCGTTGCATCTCAAAATCTTGCTCACAAACGTCAGTTATGAGCGACTCAACCATCGGTTTTTATTTGCCTTGATCGCCGCGTGACCAATGGAATGACAGAGTTTGGATTACGTTGTTATGACGTCATAGATTCCTGGCTGACCTTGAAATGTCTCCCCGAGATAGTCTGCGTGTTTTCGTGGGCGTGCAGCATAGAAACTAGAAGCGCTTGGCTCTTAAGAAGGGCGGGGCTGTAAACTGCACAAAATGATCTTCAAGATGGCTACTTCAGCTAAAAAATCCACGCACATGTGGGATATCTCTTTAACACTGGGTAGACACAATTCGACGAAGTTCATTATAGAGGCAAATTTGGCATGCCCAAGGTGCGCGTCTTATTTTGCGTGTCTTAAAGCAGCATTACATATTCTCACCTTTCCTATTTCTACGCATCAACGTGATGCTTTTTTAGCTGACGGTGTTTAATCACGTACCTACTTAATATTGGTATATGCCATACATTTGGTAAGGAGGTGTAGGCAAGTGCCCCCAGGGGCCGTTATGTTTGTATGGCCCTGGGTGAAATCCTTCGCACGAAGCCACAGGAAAGTCTCCGTACACCAAAGGAATCTTGCCATGGTTGCAATATTTTGGAGTGATCGG